CCAGCTGTGCAGGCTCACATCTGCTGTTCTCAGGCTTGCTGCCAATCATTGCAGCTCTTACCATTTATTTTTCCTCACAAGGGAAGAAAGCACCCAAGACAATCCTGCTAAGGGAAAGAAGAGCAAGCATGCAAAGGTGGACTATTGACACTATTTTCGTTACTTTCTTTTTTCATCTATCTGATGTTACTGGCATAGTGGTAGGCATAGTAAGTAGGCTGGAGATGAAAAAGCATGCAAAAATTACATTAAATATTGTTGTAGCTACATCCTCTGAACACTCATTTTCCCTTGCTTTATGTTATATTAGTCAAACTAGACAAAGAGCCTTCAGAGGTAACTAGCAGATTTCCTTCTCCTGCCTCTCTCCATCCTACAAGGTCATCTAAAATAGGACAGGGAAGTACACTAGAAAATACTGCAGGGAACAATCTTGCTTTGGCAGGAAAATGCATTGCAAAAGTCTACCTGCTCTTTTTCACTTCCCAGTTTCTGTGATACAGATGACTGGCAAAGTCCCTTGGCATATTTGTTTCAGTAGTACATTAAATACTAGGTCTGCCTGTTCAGGTGATGCTGCTTACCTGTACGGAAGATAAGAGCCATGGATGCAGCTGGCATTTCCCGTTATGTTTGCTTGGTTAGTCTGACTTGGAAATGCAAAGGAGCACAAAGAGGAGTTAAAGCTCTTAAACAAAGAGGGGGCAAAGGTTCAAGCCCCAGCATCTGGACACAAAAATAAGAGGTTTTATAGATGAGCATCCATCGGTTTATCACTGGAATTCAAAATCTATCAAAGAAAATAATATTCTGATAAACAGCTTTTCCTCTTATTTCCCCAAGCACCTGTCAACCAGCTTGGTTTTATCACAGGTAAATAACACAGGCTCCTGTCTCCATTACTGTTCTCACTTGAATTTCTTTAAAGTGATCCCTCATTAAGGGATTTCCAAAAACAAGATTAAAAGAGGATTTAAAAAAACCCAAAACTACATTGTCTTTTGAAATTCTGAAATTTTGAAATTGCTTTCTTCTTCATCAAACATACATTGTGAGGAAGCTCAGTGATGGAGGGGGTCTCAGGGCTGCTCCTCCAACCTCCCCTGCAAGGTTGTTCTGCAAATGGCCCAGCCAAGAAGGAGCTCCTTCCCACACAAAGTTGCTGGCCAGAGGCTTCCCTTGGGAAGTGCCGTGTTCTTCCAGGACTGCAGTGTGGGGATGGCCAGGATGTCCCAGCTCAACGTCAGAAGACATGCTTTTGGCTGTCACTGTTTGCAGGAGGCAAGTCCTGGCTCTTCTGGGAGAGGCAGATCAGAGCCAGCCTGACCCACAACAATCTGCCTCGCCAGGCGCCTGGCCGTGTCTGGAGCAATCTGTCACCTTCAAGGACACCAGCAGCGCCTTCCATCCCAACAATCATGGCAGATATCAGAAGCCCAATGGGAAAAGAGGACCTCCATCCTTCATCCTTGCCAGCATTTTCTTCCTTTGCTTTTTGGTGCTGGGCTGGCCAGGTCAAATCGATAAACTGCTCAAAAAAGGTAAATACCACTTTAATCTCTTCCTCCAGTTAATCATGGCAAACCACAGGAAGGCAGATAGTAATTCAAGATTAGCAATAGCCTTATGAAGCTCACATTATTACCAAAGAAATTTAAAAAGCCACACACCTCAAATACCTTAGTTTTCATCTAATCCTTTGATAATTAAACCCCAGACAGAAAAAAAAAAAAAAAAAAAAAAAATTCACACATTATCTTCAAATTCCACATAGTTGGAATGATGCAAATGAATCAAATTTAATCCCTCTTTGTTTCTCGCTCCTAACTATAGAAAAAGAATGAAAAGCAGAAAGAAAAATCAAACAAAAGGTGAGATGTCAGAGCAGTTGTAGATTTAAGTTTGTGAAGGTCCATGCTGGGTCATCATGGGATTATTACAGATAGGCTTAACAAACATATCCCATCAAAAGAACTTTGAATAAGCCAAATATACCCAGTGGGACCAATTTTGCAAATGTTTTCACAGAATCAGGGAATCATTTAGGTTGGAAAAGACCTCTAAGATCATCAGGTCCCACAATTAGCCTAACAGTGCCGAGTCCACCACTAAACCATGTCACTAAGTGCTACATCTATGCATCTTCTAAACACCTCCAGGAATGGTGACTACACCACTCCACCCAGGGCAGCCCATTCCAATGCTTGACAATGCTCCCTGTAAATAAATTTTTCCTAACATCCAATCAAAAATTTCCCTAGCACCTTCCCCTGAGGTTGTTTCCTCTTACTCTACCACTTATTATCCTAGAGGAGAGATCGACATCCACCTAGCTACAACCTCCTTTCAGGTAGTTGCAGGAAGTGATAAGGTGCCCCATGAACCTCCTTTTCCCCAGGCTAAACCCCCCCATCTCCCTCAGCTGCTCCTCATAAGACATCCTTTCTAGATCCTTCACCAGCTCCATTGCTCTTCTGGGAGGGGAGAAGCAGCCCTCACAAACTCATTGTAGGAATGGATCTGCAGCCTCCTTTCATCTCAGATTGTTTGTGAACAGTTGTCAGCTTTCTACCATTTTTCTTAATTTCCCCAGGGATTTCTGTAACTCAGGAATTGATCTTTAGCAAGCATTAAGACTCTAAATCATCTGTCATCTTGGTGGTATTTCTCTGATTGGCTGTCTACCTGGATTGAACCATCTTGCATGCTGGAAATCTGCAATTCTCAAATAAGTTGGGCATAAATGATAGCAACATCTCATTTGAATCTTGTTGTGTGTTCCCCAATAGTTGTTGAATACAGAATTATTTTCAGTGTTTATGCAATTTCTTGTGGGATAATACACATAACATTAGAGGGTCTGAAGAGAGCAGCAGCCATTTCCTAAGTAAGTACCCACTGTCCGTGGAACGTCCTTGAGCCTCCCAATGCTGGCAGCTCCTGGCAGACACATTCAGAGCTAGGCTGAGCAGGGTGCAGAGCAGCACAGAGAGCCATCTGGGCATCCCCCCTAACAGAACACAGCACTCACAGCTGCCAATCCCCGCTGAACCTGGGCAGCCTGGAGAAGAGCCACTGCAGCCCCAGCAATGGCTGCAGGTCTCACCTCAAAACCTGTCCACCACAGGTCACAGGGCAGTGCCACACAGAGGGAAACCTGCTGCGGGTGACAGCCACGCTAATAATGAAAGTGGGGCTAGCACCATAAACTGTTTTCTCTCGCCAGACGTGAGCCCTGAGGGCTGTAAATCTTGGAGGAGGCCTCAAGCAGGTACCTGCACGTTGCCACCTATTCCTGGGCGGAGTGGTGTCGTCACCTGTGCCACCGCCCTCGCTGGCAGAGCAGCCGGAGCCGCAGCCCCATCCTTGAGTCCAGCCGCGCTTCCGTCGGCAATGCTGGCACAGGGAAGGTTTGCTGGGAAATCAAGGGCGTTACTCACATGTCTCCTGAGATCAGAATCCAGCTTCAAGCAGGTGAAGTTGGCAGCACAGGTGGTTAGAGTTTTCCATTATATGTTCCTGGTTGAGTTGCTTCTAGTCTAAACTGTTCATGTGCTTTAGTTTCCAAGTTTGTTCTTTTGGCTGACATTTTTATTATTTTCTTTTTAAACTGGCAGGATGGTTCAACTATTTTTTAAGGGCCCTGGAGAAAATGGTTATTGTTAAGTACCATTTTAATCTCTGTAACATTTTCTGCTCTTTGCATCTATGTATCCAATTTCAAGGTATTCCAGCTTTGGAGTACACGGGAAAGGTTTGGTTTCTTTGTGTATTTTGGGTTGGTTGTTTTGTTTTGTTTTATTTTCCTCTGTTCCTATGAAAATCTGTTGGACTTAATGCAAAGATAAGCTTTGAAAAACTGCTTTGATGGTTTTGAATTTTTTCTGTTAGTTTCTCCCCGTTTTGTCACTTAGATCTTTTAGTATCTTTTTCCCAGTGTGCCCTTGATTTCAGCTCTATTCAGTTCTTATCTCAAGACAGCACTGAAGGTACTCGTGGAGAATCCTATAAGGGGAGGCAGAATGAAAGCTACCGATAAGGCACAGTGACAACTACATTAAATTCTCCATATATTTTTGACTTGAAAATGTGTTGGGCAGGAGCTGGGAGGGGGCAGGTGGGGAGGAATATCCTAACAGGAAGATTCACTTTGTGCTACATGCCGTATTTCTGAGCAACGCTTCCAATCACCTCCCTCAGGGAGCAGATTAGCATCAATCCCTAAATCCCCTCCATTTTGTGATGGGGTACGGGGAGAGGCTCTGCAAGTTCATGTCTTGTACAGAACACTGAGCGAAGGGTGGGCGCCTGTCTCCGGCGAGAGGGACGGCTCCCGTCCAGACTCAGCCGACGGCTCCAAGTTCACCTGTGCCGCTCTCCCCCCTGCTGGGGGCCACTGCCGACACGGGATGGGGCACTGTGGTGGCCGGGGGCTTGTCCCATGGCCCCGTTCAGAGGGAAGCGTGGGGTCCCTGCGCTGGGAAGCGGCGGCGCTTGCTTCCAGCAGCCACTCCAAGCGGCTCCTGCTGCCGCCGTCCTCCCCCCGTCCCCGTGCGCCCGGCACTGCCCAGCTTCAGCCGCGCTGCGGGATACGTGCAGGGCCTGGGGCGAGCTGGGGCCGCGGGAGAGGTCCCTGCCCGGCGTTCCCTTATCTGTTTTGGGGGCAAAAATCACAAGAAAAAAAAAAAAAAAAAGGGGGGGGGTAAACCCCTCCAACATCAAAAATCAGAACTTTTCCCGCCCCGCTCCCCGTGCCCGCGGTGCCGGTGGAGCCGGCAGCCAGCGCCGGCGGGGCGGGCGCAGCTCCCCGCGGGCGCGCAGCCCCGCGGAACCAGCTCTCCGCGCTGCCCCCGGCCCCGCACTTCCTGCCCGCGGCGGCGGGCCTGGCGGGGCCGGGCAGGGCGATACCAAGTGTCCGGCGCGGCGGGAGCGGCGGCGGCGGGCG